TGCTATTGTGGCGGGAGCCAGAGCCCTGGGCCCTTGAAATCAGCTCCCAGGCAGCGTGCTCCAGGCGATGCTGAAGGACTGGCAGGGAAGGCTAGCCCCCAGCCCTGACCCTTCCACCACGAACATAAGAACGGCCATACTGGGTCAGACCAACGGTCCATCCAGCCCAGTAGCCCATCTGCCAACAGTGGCCAATACCAGATGCTCCAGAGGGAGGGAACACAACAGGTAATCCTCACGTGATCCCTCCCGTCACTCAGCTGCAGAGAAACAGGCTAGGGACACCATTCCCACCCATCCTGGCTAATAGCCATTGAAGGACTGAACCTCCATGAATCTATCTAGCTCTTTTTTGAACCCTGTTAAAGTCCTAGACTTCACCTCATCCTCTGGCAAGGAGTTCCACGGGTTGACTGTGTGCGGAGTGAAGAAAAACTTCCTTTTGTCTGTTTTAAAACGTGCTGCCTACTCATTTCATTTGGTGACCCCTACTTCTTATATTGTGGGAATAAGTACATAACTTTTCCTTAGTCACTTTTCCCATACCAGTCATCATTTTATAGACCTCTACCATATCCCCCCTTAGTCTACATCTATACTATGAGCCTCTTGCGGAAGCGCAAATGCAAATGGAGCGTTCATTTGCATATGTTGCACTCTCATTTGCATTTTCTCTTCGGATCCCTTTTGCACAAGAGGTTTTTGCAAAAAAAAAAAAAAAAAAAGTGCTGTGTAGACGGCTCCTTTATGTGCAAAAAACCCTTTTGTGCAAGGGCTGCTCTTCCTCAAAAAATGACAAATGCAAAGTACAGGTTGGAGCTCTCTGGTCTGGCTCTCTGGGGACCTGACCGGTCCCGGACCAGGGGATTTCCCGGACCAGGGATGCCCTGCTGCCCTGGGCTAGGGCTCCAGCCCGGTCCTGCTGCTGCCTCAGCCTCCAAGGGCCCTCTAGCTGCTGTTGGAGCTGGTGCTCTGCAGCTGCCTGGCTCCATGGCTGGGGCTCCACAGACAGGGTGGAGGCTGGAACTCCCTGATTGCCACTGGGACTGGAGCTCCACAGCCACCTGCTCTAGGGCTGAGGCCAGAAGCCCCACAGCTGGGCTGACGCTGGGACCAGAACTCCCTGCTGCACCTCCACCTCCCAGCTGAGTCACCAGCCCCACCCTACTGCACTCCTGTCCCGCCACCAGACCTCCCTGTGCCTGGGCTCTGTAGTCCAGGAACATCCATGGCCTTGCCAGACCACAAATGTTGCTGGACCAGAGAGTCCCGGTTTAAGGAGGTGCAACCTGTACTCCACGTAGGGAGGAACAATCAGTTGCACACACACACAATGGGAAGTGACTGTCTAGGAAGTAGTACTGCGGAAACGGATCTAGGGCTCCGAGTGGACCACAAGCTGAATACGATTCAGTGTGACACTGTCACCAAAAAACAAACCAAACCCCACATCTCAACGTGAAGAGTGTTGTGAGCAAGACATGAGAAGTAATTCTTGGGCTCTACTCTGTGATGATTAGGCCTCAGCTGAAGTATTGTGTCCAGTTCTGGGCATCACAGTTCAGGGAAGATGCGGACCAATTGGAAAGGGTCCAAAGAAGAGCAACAAAAATTCTTAAAGGTTTAGAAAACATGACCTATGAGGTCATGAAAAGAGAAGACTGAGAGGGGACGTCATAGCTTTCAAGTACCTAAAAAGGGTGTTACAAGGTGGAGGGAGAAAATTGTTCTCCTTAACCTCTGATGATGGGACAAGAAGCAATGGGCTGACATTGCAACAAGGACATTAGGAAAAACTTCCTAACTGTCAGAGTGGCTAAGTACTGGAATAAGTTGCCTAGGGAGGTTGTGGAATCTCCATCATTGAAGATATTTAAGAGCACATTGGATAAACATCTGTTGTGATCTAGTTCTGGGGTGTCCAACCAGTTCTGAAGCAGCAACCACAAGAGTGGCTACTGCCATAGCGAACTAGTCACACTCAACTGTCCAAATAGCCACATGTCCCCCGCACCCCCAAACAGACTCATCAGCCCGGTCGGCACTGCCAATTGGAGCTGCCAGGTCCCTTTAGACCTGGGCATTCCAGTCAAACCCCGAATGCCTGGCAACCCTCGCCCACGCCCTGCCTTCTGCCTGA